TATATATATATACAGTATAGAACTCAATAGTAAAAACTTTAAAAAAAAATTTTCCCTCAAACGATGACTTACTCTTTTAGTAGTGGAATCCCTGTTTTATTCCAAGAGAAAGAAGCATTTGTAAATCCAATGGCATGATCTAGGCAGAAAAACAAAAAGAATGATGTATTCCAGAATCAATGACCCTCAGTTCATAACTCAAATAAAGGTTGAATACAAAGAGAAAATGCTGACCTCCTGTATAGTTTGTTTCAATATTTTGAGGACGAAGCTCCTCAGTGTTGAGAAAGTCTTCTAGACGGCCCAATGATATCCTTGTCTATCAAAATAAACATAGATAGAATTTATTTGGAGCTCAAGTTAAACCTAAACTAAAAAGTGCTCATTGTGATGTATAGCCTGACAAAATTTTCTGTGCAAATTGAAAATATTGGTATAAATGTAGCAAGCATACTTCAAATTATTTTAATTTTATAAATGAGTTAATCCCTAAATACAATGAGTTATCTCATGGAGCAAAGATCAAAACAAATGCCACTGTGTAGGAAATATGAGAATAGGAAAACTATAAAAAATTTGATTTTTGCTGTGCTAAAAATACTATAGCAACTGATTAGTCAGTAAGTACAAGAACACTAGATTTTCCAGCTTCGTGGATATAATTGATAAATAAAAATCATATATATTTGAGTGCACAGTGTCATATTTTGAGATATGTATATATTTTGAAATAATTATCACATTACAGTTAAGTAACATTGTCATTCCTGGGACCAGCAGGTGGTGTGATGGTTAAGGTGCTGGACACTCCCACATGGCTGACTACGGTTTGAGTCCCAAGCCAGGTAGCTTGCTTTCTCACTTTCTCTCTCTCTTTCTCTCTCTCTATCTCTCTCTCCCTTTTTGTGTGTCTCTCTGGTCAAAATTTTAAAAATAAAAAAATAAATAAATGAGTAAATATTTTTTTTAAATTGCCGTTGTTTCAAGTAATTACCTTTTTTTCCTGTGTGCTATGTGAATACTTAACATTTACTCTTAGGAAATTTCAAATATATAATATATTATTAGTAAGTCTAGTGCCTATTAGTGCTGTGCATTAGTTTGTAGGGCTTACTCATCTTATAAGTGCAAGTGTGTACCTTTCGGTTATAACTCCATTTCACTCTCCTCCCCCATCTCCCACTTCTTCTAACTCTCTGCTTTTATGAATTTGACTTTCTTAGACAAAGTGAGATCATGTGGAATTTATCTTCTGTGTCACTTATTTCACTTAGTGCAATATTTTGCCATACTGTCTCAAGTGACTGGATATCCTTTTTTAAAGCTGAATGATATTCCTCTATGTGTGCATGTGTGTGTTTATCCACTTTTTATTCATTCACCTGTGATGGACACTTGTTTCCACAACTTGGCTACTGTGAATAATGGTAAAATAAACATGGGATTTTACTTCCTTTGGATATATACCCTGAGCGAGGTTTTCGAATGTATAACAGATCTATTTTTAATTTTTAAAGGAACTACCATACTGTTTTCCATAATGGCTACATGAATTTAAATTCCCATCCATAGTGTGTAGCGCTCCTTTTTCTCCGCAACCTTGCTAGCACTTCTTATCTTTTGAGTTTTTGATAACAGTCATCCTAACAGGTGTAAACTAATCTCACTGTGGTTTAAAAGATTAGGTTTTAAAACCCAGCTTAAAGACTAATAAATAAATTTCATGACTGACAATAAACAAAACCATGGTTTTGGCAATGGTAATATTTAATCATAGTAGAATAACTGTCAAGTATTTGACTACTATTTGTATTAATAAGAATTTATTTTCCCCTGAAACTGACTGACATGAACTCTCTGGCCAATTTTTATTTACTTGGAGCTAGGAGACCTCTGTTGCTAACAGACATGGTGTAACTGGACTGTGGTGGTGTTTACCAAGTGAGTCATTTCAGTGATACAGCTGATTCTTTAGCTTTTGTTCTCCTCCCTTTGGACAATCGTCTCCTTATTTATTAAGCCAAGGCGAGGCAGCAGTGTACTGCTAAGAGTCAAACACTCCGAGAGACCAGATCTTTCAATAGATTCTAATTTCAAAAGGAAAACCAAACTGGTCCTCTGAGAACTGACATTTTCTTTAAGTAAAGTGTGCTGTGAAAACAAGTGTTAAAACATCCCATCATAGTACTTCTATGCCCTCTGTTGGTTATTATAAGTAAAATACTATGAAAAAGTGTGATGTAGCAATAATGTCTCTCCTGGTATTTCCTATGCAATTATTTATTTAAATAATAATAAGTCTAAATTCTGAGATCAAGAATCTTCTTTCAGTTAGCAAAGATTCACTTTGTTAATGAATTCAGACTTCAGGAAAAGGGTTCAATAGGAGATGCCCAGACAACCCAACCTCATCATCTAAAACATTGAACTGAGTAAATCTCAGGGCAAAAGGATCCAAGGACTCAATTTTTCAGACTTCCTGTGGTTTGAGCAGCCTTCTAAACATCGCAGTATCTAAAGAGCCTTCAGGGGTTAGAGATTACAGCTAAAAGCAGACTGAGCCAAGCATCTCCCCGTGGCTTATTGTCAGACCGATGTTACCAATTTACTTTGTCCCTCCTCCTTCATTCAGTACAAATGAAATGGTGCTGAACCCCAGGAAAACATTCAGATTCAGTTTGAGATAAGTACCTAATTATGACTTTTCAGTTGAAAATGGAAAACAAACCCAGTGATGGCACAGAGGCTAACATCAGCTTTTAAAAAAAACTAAGTGCCAGAAACTATCATGTAACAAGCAAAACAATAAGATGTATGTCAAAATCACCCAGAGAGGAGAAAAACGTAAGTAGAAGATACATGATTCCTTATACTATAATAGTGTTCTTCTTACCCCCTAATTCAAGGAGACTAATATTGAATACAGCATCAAGCGACCACAAAAAGTGAAATAAGGTTAAGAAAAAAGACTAGGAAAGAAAATGTCCAAAAGCATAAATCTCAGTAGAGGAATGATTCTTAGCTTAAGGTACTCTAGATGTACCTGGACCACAGATGAGATCACCATTGGTAAATCAAACAGAGGAATCCTCAAGATATTAAACAAAGACAAGGATGTGAACGCTTTAGTAGCAGTTAAAATGTTTCCTTCATCCAGCAAGGAATAGATGCCAAAAGTCACCAGAGACACCTAAAAAATAGAGACATGCTATTTCCTTTGAATATTCACTAACAACATCACGATTGAATTGCAGTCCTAAAAAGTAGAAAAAAACATAATTTTTTCTTTGCTGAAATTTTCATACCTTACTGATAAATATAAAATGTGTGTTTTGTATTTATCATATAATCATATCATATATAACATTCTTTTTTTTTTTTTTTTTGGAGAGGTTTTTGCTATAGGGCGTGTGCGCCTGTCAGACAGACAGAGAGAGACAGAGAGAGAGAAAGCGAGAAATCACCCCCCAGGGGGGATGGCCATGCTGCAATCCCTTCTCCTCTCGGGATCTTGGGCACGCACACACACACGCGCCTGGTGTGAGTTTTAAGCCGCTGGGGCTGGGATGCGAACCGCGGTTGACTACATGGGAGTCCAGCGACATAGCCATTACGCTAACTGCTGGTCCCTCATAATGACATTCTTGAGACCACATGGTTCGGCTTTTTGCTTTATGATACTTCACCTTCTTCCTAGAGTTACTATTCTAATTTAAATTATTTACCAATCTTTTTTTTTTTTAACTTTAATTTTGCCAGTAGGTTAATTGACTAGCAGAAGGGAGACAGAGAGAGAGAGAGAGAGAGAGAGAGAGAGGAAAGGTGAGAAAGCTCTCTCCACGAGGGATGTTCATGCCACAATCCCTTCTCCTGCATTCCTCCCATTTTTAGAATTTGGGGCACACTTGCACCTGGCATGTTTCTTGAGCCTCCAGGTGGGGGACTTGAGCCACACAGTCAGCCATGTGGAATCCAGCAGCCTTCACCACCATACCAAGGGCTGGCCTCCTATCTTTTTAAAACATGTAGTTTTACGTACACTTATTTTCCAGTGTGTGTACATATATTCTGACTTACAGGTAGCAATTATGATTTCTTCGTGTCATAGATTTAACTGAGGAAGACATGACTAAATCATAGCAGATAAGATTTAGAGTTGCTCTTATATGTTTTCTATGTTTCATTTAGAAAAGGCAGAAAAGATCATTTATGCATGGAATCTATTAAGGATCATGCATGTAGTACTGGTTTCAGCAAATGTTTCTTGGACTTTATAACCTAAGTATTCTACAGGTAAATATCCCTTTTACTTCCATAACAATTGTGTTTGTTTAAATAAAAAAGTAATATTTTATATTGTCAATAAGGAAGACCCATGTCCAGGGCTTCCCTCAATCCCCATCACCACCTAAGGTGGGAATTTTGATTAAAATGGATGCTCCAATTCTATATGGCTCACTTACCCTTTGGCTTTTGCCCATTGCTTTTTATCCTAAGGCAATTTTTATTCTAGTTTAAACACTGTGGGATTCACGATGTTTACGTGATATGATAGAAAGGGAAAGACCTCACTCTATCGCTTCACCTCCAACTACTTATTCTATAACCCTGGCAGAGATTCTAAACTAAAACAGACTTTCATTTCCTCTTGTTAAATGAGAAAAATAATGCCTTATTATTGTGAGACTGAAATAAGGCATGTATGTACCTCGTCTGGCACTAGTAAAAATGCTCAATAAGTGTGTTACTTCCTTTCAGAACTCCATATAATGTGCCTTTGAGTTCTGCTTAAAAGGAATTAATCAAACAAATAAAACTTTATAGAGATGGAATAAAACCCTGAAATGTAGATTATATTTTTTAAGAATTAAGAAAGCATGGGAACCAGCAGTTAGCGTAATGGCTATGTCGCTGGACTCCCACGTAGTTGACCGCAGTTCGCGTCCCAGACCCTGTGGTTTAAACTCACGCCGGGCACGTGTGCGTGCGTGCCCAAGAGCCCAAGAGGAGAATGGAGGAGAAGGGATTGTGGCGTGACCATCCCCCCTGGGGGGGGATTTCTCGCTTTCTGTCTCTATGTCTCTCTCTCTGTCTGTCTGGCGAGTGCACACGCCCTGTAGCGAAAAACCTCTCCAAAAAAAAAAAAAAAATTAGGAAAGTGCATGTTCAATTGTGAGAATTTTACAAAGATGGAAAGTTGTGTTACATATAAAAAAAATACAATGAGATCATACATTTTTTTTTCTTCTTTAAAGCTTCTGTTCTCTAATCTACATTAAGTAATGACTGCATTTCTTGAACGTTTCAATCCAGATATAGAAGTTTTTACTTTATACACCTGAATTCCCAATACTTTGGAGGCAAATCTGCAAATCAAATTTGAACTTCACAACAGTTAATATTATATACACTCACCAAGAATGGAATGCAAGTTAATGTCAACATAGAAAATACAGCAAGTGACCTAGCTGACTTTTGAAATTCCAATTCCTGATCTCGAATTTCAGTAATCTTATTTTCATAGGAAGGTTCCCATGCATAAAGTTTGAGGATCTGCAAAGGATTCACAAAATAAATGTTCAGCAATCAATATCATAGAAGAAAAGATACACATATAAAACACACACCATATGCACACACACGCACGCATACACATACACAGTTGTGAAGGTAAAAGAAAATGTCTCACTCACACAGAAAAGTTAATTGTTTCTGCCTTTGACTGGATAAAAACATTTCCTAGAATTATGTTTTTCTTTTTTTTATTTGGAAGAGGGCCATATGGGAAGGAAGGAACCACCATTTCCAGTCTTAGGTCTCTCTTAACCATCAGTGACTTATTTCTGAGTCAGACTCCAGCAACATCGCAGCTTTAAGCATGAGTGCCCTAAGCAGTTCTGTTAGTTTGGTTATGCCACTTGTCTCCTAGTCCAACTCTTCCTGCTTTCTACTCCCCATTTATTTACTTATTTAGAGAGGTTTTTGCTATAGAGCGCCTGCACTTGCCAGAAAGAGAGAGACAGAGAGACAGAAAGCGAGAAATCACCCCCCAGGAGGATGGCCACACCGCAATCCCTTCTCCTCCATTTTCCTCTCGGGATCTTGAGCATGCACGCACACACGCCTGTCATGAGTTTAAGCCACTGGGTCCAGGATGTGAACCGCGGTCGATTACATGGGAGTCCAGTGACATAGCCATTACGCCAACTGCTGGTCCTGTACTCTTCATTTCTTCATACCTATGCTCTTTTCCCCAGCTCCCCAGTTTCTTCAAAATTGGTATCCTGGAACCTCAAAGTCATACTATAAAAGGTTACTGGTCTTTTGAGATTGTAAAATATTTTCTGAGATAGAAAATGTGGGTAAGCAAGATCCTACACTGTCTCACCACATACATTTTAGAGGCAATAGATCCACATTCAAATTCTAGCTCTATCTGTGATGCTTGATTTTATATCTATTTCACTAGGCTCTGGAGCTGAGTTGTTTCATCAAATACCAATTCAGATGTTGCTGAGAAGGTCTTTTTTGGTGTGACTAAAATTTAGCCAGTAGATTTTAAGTAGATCATTCATAATGTAAGTGGGCCTCATCCCATTAGCTGAAGACCTTAAAAGAAAAGACTGAGGTTCCCCAAGAGGGAATGATTTCCAATTCCAGACAGCCTTCAGACCCAAGATGGCATTGACTTCTGCCTGTCTGTTCTATAGATTTCAGATTAACCATCCCCTACAAGCAAATGAACCAATTTAAAAAATTCTCTCTATATACACATATGCAAATTTCGATTTGCAGTCATTAGTATTTAAAACCTATAAAGAGAGTCAGTTGTGGTAGTGTATCAGTGGCATGATGCTCTATGATGCTAATAAACATGGGAGTATCACAGATTCATATCCTGAGTCTCCCTGTGCATCTTGGGCAAGTACACACATGTCTCTCAACTACTGGCTGGGGCTGGGAGTGGATGATGGCATGAGGACCCTGTTGGGGATGATGGTCTCTCAGAAGAAATAAATTAATTAGTAAAAAAAAATAAAACCTATAAACACATATTGCTGTACTATTTATTGGATGCAAAGGCTATCAATTAATCCACTGATAGCTGCATTCACATCTCGCTGCAGCATGTGATCTTATTAAACAGTCCAATTTAAATTTCAGAGCTACTTAAGGTTACTCTTAATTTTAGATAAATAAGTCATTATTTATTGGTTTCCATTCAAGATAACTTTAATATTTTTTCTACTTCAGTAATTTACAATTTTGTGAAAGTTTTACACAGTGTGATGCAGCAGTGTGTTTATTGGTTCTAAGATGAGTCAATATGTACATATGAGTACATTTTTTGTGAATATAATAATAAATGCACAAATAGGGAATTTCTGTGTTACTGTCAATGCCAGAGGAAAGTGTATATGGATTTTACAAATTTTACTCTTTAGAAAAATCTTATAAAGCATAATCTATGTATGGTAGGATTTGAAATGGTATATATAAAAGTTCAAAAGCTTTCTTTATTTTATTTTTAAGAGAGTAATTTTTGTTATAGGGTACATGCACTTGCCAGCCAGACAGAGAGACAAAAAGTGAGAAATCAACCCCAGCGGGATGGCCACACCACAATCCCTTCTCCTCCATTCTCCTCTCAAGATTTTGGGTGTGCACACACACACACACAGCATGAATTTTAAGTTGCTGGGTCCAGGATTTGAACCATAGTCGTTGTATATGTGGGATACCAATGATATAATCATTATGCCATCTGCTGGTCCTCACAAGGTTTTGTTTTACTGCAGAGAAAATATTAGTGGTATGGGTGGTGTAACTTTCCTAGAGAAAAATAATTTCAACATATCTTTTGTAGAATAGCATCTATATGATAATGATAATTTCCATTTCACATAAGATAACCTGAAGAATATCTAATGACTTTCCCCCATGTAAACCTACTTTTATGCTAATGACAATTTATTAAAATTTCATCCTATCTCTTCCACATAAATCTTTAAAATAAGTGATACTTTGTAACTTTTAGGATATTTGTGTTTGGTTGTTAAAAGAAATGCTTTTCTTTTATTTGGTTTTGTATCTAAATGCTATCTTAACCACAAGAATGCCTATATATCTAAACTCTGAAATCCCCTACCTATAATTATATATTATCATCACTTTGTGATAATTGAGAATAATACAAACTTTATTTATTGATTAATATACTCTAAATAATCAAATCAAAGGCATATATATTCCTTTTATATTACCTTAATTCCATGTAAGATTTCTTTCAGAAGTTTTATCTGTTTATCTTTGTTCTTCGTTTGGCTTTTCTATTTAAGAGAAAGAAAACAAAAGTATATCTGATAACAGTTGGTATATTTTACTTATATAGCCCAACTATTCTTAGAGTGTTTTCTGTATACTATGTAAGATTTAGTTAAGAAAAGCATCCTACTGGAACCAGCAGTTAGCATAATGGCTATGTCGCTGGACTCCCATATAGTCAACTATGGTTCGAGTCCCGGACCTGGTAGCTTAAACTCATGCCAGGCGCGTGTGCATGCGTGCCCAAGATCCCGAGAGGAAAATGGAGGAGAAAGGATTGAGGTGTGGCCATCCCCTCTGGGGGGTGATTTCTTGCTTTCTGTCTCTCTGTCTCTCTGTCTTTCTGGCAAGGGCACTTGCCCTATAACAAAAATCTCTCTCTCAAAAAAAAAAAAGCATCCTACAGTATTTATGCAATAATATTCTATTAAAGGGCAGCCAATTTTCTGGGATCCCTATCTTTTTGGAAGTCTGTTTTTCCTTCCCTCTCCTTTAATAAAATCCCTGCTTTGCTAATAAAATTATATAAAAATATTAAAAGGTAGTTATCAATAGCTAACTTAAAACTAGGAGCAGTAGAAAAAAGTGAGATACAAATAGTAGAAACTATAATATTTATTTAATTGTAGTATGTTTAAATTTTAATAATAAAACAATACCCACATTCTATTACAATGAAATGCACTCCAAAACTCCTTCAACTTATAGATAGATAGATAAATAGGCAGACATATAGATCGATATGAGGTATCTTCAAAAATTATAGAGAAAATGTATATTATGAAAAAAACTATGTACACATTTTGGTATTTTTTGCATGAAAATAAATTTGTACCTTTATTCCACTTCTCCATAAACTTTTTGAAGTTCCTGTGTGTGTGTGTGTATGTGTGCCTATATCTACATCTATATGTATATATATATGTGTGTGTGTGTGTGTGTCTATGTGTGTGCACATGTATATGCACATACAGACACATATTTATAACAAAAATGTCACAGGAATACACACAAAACTGTTAGTTGTGTTAGGTCTTTCAGAAGTAGAGTAACTGAAATGTAGATTTTCAAATAATAGCTATCTTGTTTACATAGATACCAAAATTATGTAATTACTTTTACTTACATATTTAAAAGTTATGTTTTAAAATTTTTTTTTTTTGGTTTATTTTTGCTATAGGGTGCATACACTCCCAGAGAGAGAAAGCAAGAAGGAGGGAGAAGAAAGTGAAAACTTCCCCCTCCCCACGGGGCAATGGCCACACTGGATCCTTTCTTCTCCATCCTTCTCTAGATTTTGGACGTGCATTCACAGGCATCAGGTGTGCTTTCCAGGCCACCAGGTCTTGATCCACTCAGTTGACTATGTGAGAGCTAGCTGCCTTAACCACCATGCCACCAGTGGGCCCACATTATCATAATATGTTACACTTATCACTGTTTGGGTATTGTTTCTTCCAGATTTCTGCCACAAGCTAATACCCATAGTATTGTTTGTATGATTTAAAACCATTTTTTCTATTTAGTGTAGTTTCATATAATAATAAGTCTTTTTGAAGGTTTTAGGACTCTAGTTTAAGATTTCCCCAAATGTATCTCCATTCTTAATACTTTGACATTAAATGCCATTATTTTTAATTACAGAATATTAAAAATGTTTGCAAATATTTATTATAATTATGAACAACCCTTTACTCTAAACACTAGGTGTTTAATAGTGTTTCTTCATAATTATCAATGTGTGTTATTTTCTAGTTTTTGTCTTTAAAGACCAGTCATCTTTCATTTGAAAAATTCAGAAAAGATATTTTAAGAGTGGAGATTTCCATCAGTTTAAATGTTTTAAAGTAATAAGTAAGATTATTGTCTCCTCTTGTTTAATTTCACTCCTCAGGTAATTGTTACTAAAAGATTGCTCCTGGGAACAGCAGGTGGTGTGGTAAAGGCACTGGACTCTCACACGGCTAACCACAGTTCGAGCCCCTGACCCAGTGCTTGAAATCAAGCCAGGCACATGTGTGTGCTTGTCTAACATCCCAGGAGGATAATGAAGGAGAACAGATTGCAGTGTGGCAATACCTCCAGGGGGGAGAGGGGTTCAATTCTCATTTTCCCTTTCTCTGGAGAGCACAGGCATCCCATGGAAAAACCTAAACAAACCAAAAAAAAAAAAAAAAAAAAAAACCCTGGTAGCCGCCCCCCTGCTCTTGTTTAATTTCACTCCTCAGGTAATTGTTACTAAAAGATTGCTCCTGGGAACAGCAGGTGGTGTGGTAAAGGCACTGGACTCTCACACGGCTAACCACAGTTCGAGCCCCTGACCCAGTGCTTGAAATCAAGCCAGGCACATGTGTGTGCTTGTCTAACATCCCAGGAGGATAATGAAGGAGAACAGATTGCAGTGTGGCAATACCTCCAGGGGGGAGAGGGGTTCAATTCTCATTTTCCCTTTCTCTGGAGAGCACAGGCATCCCATGGAAAAACCTAAACAAACCAAAAAAAAAAAAAAAAAAAGACTGCTGATGCCGTCTCCCTAGGCTACTTCTTTGCTTATATACATGCATTATAGCTGTATTACTTTATTTATGTATCGCTATCATACGCAAACACACACATTATTTTTTCATTTTCATTTTCCTGTGATATATGATTGACACATAGGTATTGTTTATCTCTGTCCATTAAAAATAATATATTTTCATTAGCAGTTCTTGTGCTCTGTGTATGTAATTTAACACGTGCAATTGCCTGTCTCCTTCACTGTAGGGTGATTTCCTTCAGTGCGGGGAACTGCGCGATTTCCTCACGCCTACAGGACATGGTGGTGTGCGCCGTCCGCCGCAAGGTGGGATGTTTAAACATACTGAGGGTAAGTGAATGGCTGACGGGTGTAAAGGAGGTATTACGTCGTGAGTGAGCAGTGATCGCCCACTCGCTGCACACTGCCACTTCCTGCTCCCTCTACCCCATCGGCCCTAGCCACTTCAGGTAACCAAGCACCCCCACCTAACTCCAGACTGTGTGCGACTACTCCCTGTGCTCCATGTATCTCCTCAGACATCACGTGTGCTGCTCCTTTCCGACTGGAAAAAGATTTTCTTACTAAGGACTTTTCTTGTAAAATGGCACTCTGTTCTCCATCACATTGTCTGTACTTACTTTTCTTCATAAACAAATGATCATAAAGGCATTATGATGTATATGTGTGTATAGATATCATATATGATGTAGACAAACACACCATATTGATAGAGTTGTGTATACACATCAGTATGATATACATGTGTATTAATGATATGTACATACATCAATACGCATATTTACGTATGTATATGCCTATATATACTTTATGCCTATTTTTCCCACAAGCCTCAAGAAATCTGGAACTTGTCAGTTTTTCCTGTGCCTAGAATAGAGACTGGCACAAGATAGATGCCTAGTGACTTTTGGTCGAATGAATGAGTGATGATAAATTTCGATGATTTTTTTTAATAACTTCCATTTCCCATGCATATAGGATTAGCAAGATGGTTATTGTCCACTCAAGTCAGAAAACCCAGCTTCTCTTTGACACACCTAACAGGAGTCAGTCATGCTCTTACCTTCAGCTTTTTTACTCTAGTTGCAACTACAACGTTGATTGGTATAACAAACATGAGAACTGCCACCCCCGCCAACACCGCTGGTCCCAACTCTTGCCAAAGGAGTAATAGAGCCATCAGGATCTGGAAAGGAGCAGACCAGAGGAGATTGAGGTTGGCGGTCAAGTCCATGAGCTGCTGGGCGTCTGCTGACATCAAGTTAATAATTTCCCCAGTGGAAAACTTTTCTCGAGAAACATTTGCTAAAAGTAGAGCCTATAAAAAGAAAAGGAAAATATTTTAAGGTTCTGTTCATTGTAGGGCATCTTTATAGTTAAACAATAGTAATGCTTACTATCAGTTTTTTAATATTTAGGAAAATATACAAAGATATTTGTATAGTAGGGTAAAATATTATCAAAAGACCTGCTTTTTAGGTAATATAATATAATTATTGATCAGATGGTCGATTTTGGAATTCACATATTGGTAAAGCATAGCATGTAGGTTCCCAAACAAATAAAGCCCTCTGTAACTCAGTAATTACAAAACTGTAAAAGACATTTGTTCCACATACATTGAGGCTCTTCTCCATTTGGTAGCACTGCCTCTCGTGACACTAAACCATCTAAATGTTGCCAATACAAGGTACACAAATGAATCAATGAATATCCAATGGATACTGATGAATAGCATCATGCCTGGAAATTGTGAAAAGGACACAATGCCAACTCTCAAGACAATCATGGTCTAACTGTGGAGCCACACACACTCACACACAGAGGCCAATTCTAAGTATAAAAACAACTAAAAAAAGAACCATGGAGTCTTGAAGAGACAAGAGCATTGGAAAGACTTCATAGAACTGATGGATTACATCTAAAACTCCCAAGGTCCAAATTTCACTTTCCTCCTGTGCATGCTACCATTGGTATAGTGAATTCAACATTCTTAAACATTATCAATGGAAACTTCTTAATAAGAATGCTGATTAAACTCATGTATGCAATTCCCCACTCATTTAAAATTCCCAGTAGGATACATAAACAAATGTAAAAGTAACAGAGGAATTGTCATTATACTGGAAACCAGGTGAAGGTCCATTCATACTCCAAAAATTCTAGGGACATTCCAACTACATTGAATCAATGAGAGACAAACAGGGCTAGCAAGAGTACATGGGATACAAAAAGCCCTCAAAATCTCTTGATTCTATAAATTAATAATACAAAGGAAAAGCTCATCTGGAATATAAGTAAGCGGGGCCCACAGTGGTGGTCCTCTAACATAGCTTAGCTTCACACAGAGGAGCTAAATGCCAGGTTGAGTGAGATGTGGGGCCCCCAGAGACACTGCACCACCTTGAGAAGTTTGCATGGCATCAGCATCCCATAAAATGGGGCTCTGTGGTACTGCAGTGTTCAATCCTTGATTACGTTTCTGCACAGTAAATTGGAGATATTTCTGTGTAGTAAATTTGGGACAGACATAGTGAGGAAGAGAGAAAAAATGAATAAAAAACCAAGAGTCACTTTAACAGTTAAGTTTCAAATCATCTCTCTCCCAATGTAATTATTGAAACTCCCCCTAGAACATGTCAGTGCAGACATCTCTTTTAAGACCTGATTTTAGCACTTTAGTATAAATATTCAGACTTGAGATTGCTGAATCATTTGGTAGTTCTGTTTTTAACTTTTGGCGGAACCTCTATACAGTTCTCCAAAGTGGCTGTACTACTTTGAATTCTTACAATAATGTTCAAGGGTTCCAATTTTTCCCCATTCAACAAGAGTTGTCTTGTATTTTCTTTCTTTTTATAATCGCCATCTTGACAGGTGGGACCTAATGTCATAGCTTTGACTTGTAATTCTTTGATGATTAGTGATGATAAACATTTTTTCATATACAGCTGGTGGTGATCTGTATGCCTTCTTTAGAGAAATGACTATTCAGTCTTGAAAAAGGAGAGAAATGGTACAATATGTGACAACATACATTGACCTTACGGACATTATACTAAGGGGAATGAACCAAATAAATGCTGCATGATTCCACTTATATGAAGTATCTAAAATAATTAAAATGAAATTTTGAAAAATATCAAGGACTAGAGTGATGGTTACCAGGAACTAGGAGAAGACAAAATTGGGGAATTTTTAATCAATAGGTCTAAATTTGTAGTTAAGTAGGATAAGTAAGCTCTAGTGATCTGCTCTACAATATTCTATTTATACTCAACACAGATGCATTCTCCACTTAAAATGTGTTAAGATGATAGGTCTAGGGACCAGCAGTTAGCATAATGGCTATGTTGCTGGACTCCTATGTAGTCAACCGCGGTTCGCATCCCGGACCCAGTGGCTTAAAACTCATGCCAGGCGCATGTGCGTGTGTGCCCAAGATCCCGAGAGGAGAACGCAGGAGAAGGGATTGTGGCATGGCAATCCCCCCTGGGGGGTGATTTCTCACTTTCTGTCCCTCTGTCTCTCTCTGTCTGGTGAGTGCACGCGCCCTATAGCAAAAACCTCTCAAAAAATAAAAATAAAAAATAAAAGATGATAGGTCTATGTTAAGTGTTCTTGCCATAATAAAAGAAAGAAAAATTGATTGATTGAAGAGTATTAAAAAAATTAAAGGGCTCCATATAGCTGAATGTTGCTGGCCTGGAACTTGTAATACTGGGAGAATTGATTTGTCTTTCATTTTTTTTCTGCCAAATAAACTTTCACATTTCTTTAAGAAGCATATTTCAAAAGCCATAACGGACAATTTGGTTACCATCTATAGCTAAATTATACAATTCGAACTGCCTTTTTCTTATATGAAACAATTTAAAAGATTATTGCAGTACACACTCCAATTATAGTAGGTGGTACGAGATTTCTAGAATTGTCTGACAGAAAGCATTTAATCTGAAAACAGAGAAAATGTTTGAATGAAGTCAAATGAAAGGATCTCATATTTAAAAATCCAACATAATGTAAAAAGTTTGGGAATTGATAAATACTCTTCACTTGAAATGAAAATTGGCCAAGATATGTTATCACAATCACAATTTTCTAAGAAACTGTATTATTTAAAAATACTATACAAGTTTTCATTTTTTTCTTTTTCTTTTCTTTTTCTTGCTATAGGGTACATGTGCTCACCAGAAAGACAGAGACAGAGAGAAAGCAAGAAACATCCCTTGGGGGGATGGCCACACCTCAATACCTTCTCCTCTCTTCTCCTCCTAGGATTTTGGGCATGCACACACATGTGCCTGGCATGAGTATCAGGCTACTAGGTCTGGGACTCAGCTCTCGGTTGGCCTTGTGGGAGTCGAGAGCCTTAACCACTATGCTGCCTGCTACCCCCACTTTGGTGTTTTTATATCATATAAATCCTAGTCTATACATACACATATACAACACACGACTAATTGATTATCTGTTTTTAAATTTTCATTTACTTCACTTATTGGATTATGCTTTAGAAAGATCCAAACGAATCAGATATAGTCTTATCTCACAGACTCCTTCTGATGAAATACCTTGGGTATCATTGAGTAACATTCACTAATACTTTATTTTATCATCTGATGATGATATTTATTTCATATTCTTTCTCTTACATGTTTTTTTCTTTCAAGACCAAGTTTATATCTTTCTTTTCTTTTTTTTGGTAAATAATTATTTATTTAATTTAATTAATTTTTATTATTATTGTTATTTTCTTAATTCACCAGAGAAAGGCAGAAAGTGAGAAAGGACTTAAACCGCAGTCGGCCATGTGGAAGTCCAGCACCTCAACCACCATACGACCTGCTGGTCCCTCTATCTTTATTTTCTGAACTACTACTATAGCTGTCAGGTTCCCCTTTCCAGCCCTGTCTATATTTAATATTTTTGTTTGATCACACAACCTGTGGTTCAATTGGGTCCCAATTTCCTATAGAATTAAAGTATATTTTTATAATATATCTGTCAAGGATCTTTTGAAATATATTTTCAAAAGCAATCCCTTCTGTCTTTACTACCTCCCCCCACTACCTGCTACATGAAACACTGTCTCAAGGCAAAGTAATCTACTCTCCATTTTCTAAAAAGAGGCTTCATACTCGTGTCTGTTCTTTTCTGCCCCATCTTATTCCGATAGCAAAGAGGCTTTGTCTCATACAATCCATCCTTCAGACCACATCAAGCAACATTAACCCAAAACATTGCTTGATCACCCTAGCTGGAAGTCATACTGTCAAACTAAAAGGAATATACGAGGTAAAATATTAAAGTGGTTAATGTTAATCTGAGCCAGGGCATAGGATGAACTACTTGGATGAACAAATTTCTAGTTTCTCAGACGTATGCTCATCAAAATGTTGACCAAGAAAGGTGGTTTATATAACAAGGAGAAAGGCATCACAGCTCGTTAACGGTAAACTAAAACATGCTGTTGTGGGCGATAACCCTAGTGAATGTGTAGAACCAAAGTCATGGGCTTATGTTTTACTGAAGGCTTAAAGATTTAAATGGGCCTTGTATTCCCCAGACTGAGGTGGACTTCTTTCTCCCCCCGCCCCCGACAACACACACTATATAGCAAAAAATTCCATAAAGGGTACTAAAAAAGTCCAGTCCCAAGGATCTTCAGTCGGAAGTATGAGATACAGTGAGAGTCAGCTCCATACACTGAGTCTCCTCCCACCACCTCCTTGGTCTGATCTCCCTGAGACTCAGCTGCTGATCTGGCTGGTTCTTCTGAATATCCTGATACCATGACCTTCACCTCATGGAACTGGCCAACAGCCAGGGCTTTTCCAAAGGTACGCACACCACTCCCACATTAACATCACAAGATTAGTGGTGTTACACCCTCAGCACACTTTCTTGATTCTGTTTATCTGTAAGCTAACATTTTACTGTAACCTTCAAGCAATGTATGCAATGTACGTACACACCAGACCCCTGTCTTGGTGACCGAGAATCTGCATTGATCGATGAATGTTTTGTTTTTATCATATGAGCCTGAGCCTATGCTTGTGGTAGCGAAGACCACCCTCCGCCTGGCCCACATCAGGGCATTATCTCCCCAGTGTCAGTAAAGCCATGTCTTCTCCTATTGCACCTCCACATTTGTTCTGTGGAATCAGTAAACACCATGGGCAAATCCTGTCCAATTTGGGCATTCCCTTAGAACCGATGGAGTGCCTAAAAGTGAGAGCACATAAGAATACACTCTTCTTCAATTCATTTCTGTGCTATTAAGTATGTTAGGATTCTCCTTCTGACTCCAAATGC